AGTATTTTATCTGTCATTGGTATTTGATTTCCACTGCGTGTCTAAAACCTTCACATTCGGTACCTAGAGTGCGTCCACTCACCCACCCAGAGGTCGTCCACCGCACTCTCCTTCACTCCCAGCGTCCACTCACCCACCCAGAGGTCGTCCACCGCACTCTCCTTCACTCCCAGCGTCCACTCACCCACCCAGAGGTCGTCCACCGCACTCTCCTTCACTCCCAGCGTCCACTCACCATCCGGAGGTCGTCCACCGCACTCTCCTTCACTCCCAGCGTCCACTCACCATCCGGAGGTCGTCCCCCGCACTCACACATTCCGAGTGAGTGCTGCCGGTCTTATGTGGTGTAGCTGTTGCTGTTTTTCTCGTTGTTAGATACATTACTGTTAATAATACTCTGATTTTTAGTAATATTCTTATTCTAAGTAACACCCTAATTTTAGTAATATTCTTATTGTTGGTAATATTATTTTATACTTTTGTCACATTAGTTCTACTGAATGATTATATTACTTTTACTTTGTATTTGCTAATGATATTGCCAGTAAAGTGAAATCGTGCCTAACTACTGGGGTTTCTAAGACAAGCTGAAGACACTAAGACCTGGTCAAAAACAAAGGCTGGGAAGATTGTGTATAAAAAAATAAAGTCTGACACATTTCTGCACAAACTGTGTACAAGCATCGTAAACAAAGGGGAGTAACTGGTGGAAGGCGGGTAGAAATAGCCTAAGCTACTCTATCCCTTTGAGATGTATTTTTTTCCTGTCTCAATAAACATACTTGAACTGGTGGAACACAGAACTAGGTGAGATACCTAACGGACAGGAAACAAAGAATCAGAGTCAGACTGGCGCAGGGTAAGAGGACTTCAAACACTTTGAAGTCCTCCAAAGTGTTTGAATCTATTCTATTCGTGAACTATGTAAATTATTTAGCCCTGATGGGGGGCGGGCGGTGGAGGAGAAAACAAATGGACAGAGGTTCTTTCATCCTGATGCCGCTGTTCACCTAGCAGTACATAGGTACCTGGGAGTCAGACGGCTGCTACGGGCTGCTTCCTGGGGATGTGTAACAAAAAGAAGGCCTGGTCGAAGACCGGGCCGCGGGGACGCTAAGCCCTGAAATCATCTCAAGATAATCTCAAGATTATGGTAAAGTTCCACAGACTACAGAGATGGTACGATAAGTGGCTGCTAGAGTTCAACCCAAATAAGTTTAAGGTGATGAAAATGGAGATGTGGAATAGGAGAGTTAAGGAAATTGAAATTGAAATAAGTTCATTGAAGTAAAATACACAAAAAGGGATGAGGTAGCTCAAGCTATTCTCAGCCCGTTCAGTACAACGTGTTAATACATATATAGACACATCACAAACAATAAACATATTACCGAACATTGTGAGAGATAAACATATACATTTCCTCCTTTACACACAGTTAAGGACAACAAACTCCCAGAAACAACTAAAGAAAATAAACTACAAGTATCTAGAAAATTGAAATAACCTTGGTGTCACAGGCCAAACTGGCGACCATCAAAACTTCCCTCAGGAAACTAACAGTAATGTAGAAGTGAATGTTAAACAACCTACGTGAGATCAGTCCTAGAATATGCAGCACCGGCTTGGAATATCCACTCCAGAAGGCATACAATGTGAAAAGGTGCAAAGATTTTTCCTGCCGGCACTCGAAAAGAGAGCGGAAACATGACACAGACATATAAAATACTTTGGGTAATTGCAGGGTGGAAAAAGAAGAAATGTTTGAAATAAACATTAATACATCGAAAGAGCACAGATGGAAAGCTAGATACAAAGATTTTTACAAAGCTGAGCCATTGAGATGTGAGAACATTTTGCTTTCGTGTAATAGTATAAAACTGAATTACCTAATCGAGAAGGTAAGCCTCGTAGAAGCCAATTCAATACACATTGAATTCAACGTCCAAAGGGTGGAAAGGCGGGACCCTAGAGCTGAGGCTGTACGTACACACACACACACGTCACAGATATGTTAGGAAGTTTTCTTTTAGCGTGAGAGTAGTGGAAAAATGGAATGCACTTAAGGAACAGGTTGTGGAAGCCAGTTCTATTCATAATTTTAAAACTAGGTATGATAGGGAAATGGGACCGGAGTCATTGCTGTAAACAACCAATGGTTTGAAAGGCGGGATCCAAGAGTCAATGCTCGATCCTGCAGGCACAAATAGGTGAGTACACACACACACAAGCCTCCCGGCTGAGTGAACAGAGCTCTGAATTCGTAGTCCTAAAGGACTGGGTTCGATCCCCAACGGAGGCGCAAACAAATTGATAGTTTCTTTCACCCTGATGCAGCTGTTCACCTAGTATCAAATAGGTACCTGGGAGTTAGAGAGCTGCTACGGACTGCTTCCTGGGGATGTGTGTGTTATAGAGAAATATATGTAGTAAACATAGAGGAAAAAATAAATTGGTTAGAAAGGCGGGGTCCAAGAGCTAATAGCTCGATTCTGCAGATACAAATAGTAAATAAATACACACATATAAGGCACGGTCCCTGCGTATAGAAGCTCAACTCATCCGTTCCCAGAATACCTGCTTATTAGGGCCACGAATGAGTAGATTATTGGGAGGCGGCAAGTAATTGAGCCTCAGATCATCATACTTTATTTATTGTTACAGTATTTTACAAACGGTGTTGGTTGGTGTAGTTCTGTGCACTCACCTTCGTATGCTTGCAGGACAAGCATCGACTCCTGGGCTCCGCCTTCCAGGCTGCCTGCCCATTTCCTATATTAATTATTGAAACCGTGCACAGAGACCGTTTTTTTACCTATTTTTGCGGCTTGCGAAGAGAATGAACTAATTCTTATGGCCCCCGCTACTTACAGCGAGGCCTAAGAACTAGATCCTTCTCCTTACAAACATTTGAAGTCCCCAGACTTCTTGTGGATTCCGTGGAAGCCCTGGTTGTATAACGCAGACCATGTTGTGGTACAGCGGGGTAAGGTGCGTAGCTGGGAGTATCCTGAACGCTGGTTCGAGCCACTTCATTGCTCCAAATTATTTTCTCAAAGGAGAGAATGTTGAAGTGCTTGATCGGCCAGGTTGTGGCTGTGGGACTGCTGGACGTAGTCTCACTGGCCTTCTGTTGCACTGTGAGGTTGGAGGGGCAGCACACCTCTCGAAACGTGTCACAGGTAAACACACACATGCATGAGCTTAGTAAAAAAAAACAAAGCGTGTGTATACGTATGGAATGTGAAATCAGTTTTTTTATATTCTGAAATTACATCTCAACATATACCAACATACAGACAGTACACAACCACACCAGCATAGATAAGAGCACAGGTGTACACCACAACATACACCAACATACTCACAACATACAGGACCAGAGCGGCGGTAATATGGTGTACCGCTGACTGACCGATTGACCCATCAGTACACAACCACATTGTCGCTACGTGTACCGCCCTCTCCCAGGTACACACCCGCCCCTCCTAGGTACACACCTGCCCCTCCTAGGTACACACCTGCCCCTCCTAGGTACACACCTGCCCCTTCCAGGTACACACCTCTCCCCTCACAGGTAAAACGCTACCCTGTTTTTAATTTTATATTCAAGAGCCCCAGTTTCTCTCTTTTTTTTTAATTGACCATCCAAAAGTTCAGATTTTAGACAATATAATGACCTTCAATCGAGGAAACGTTTTATACAAAATCTGGATTCATCTTTGAGCTTTCTAATAAATTTTATACCGTGTTTTAACAGTAATAGATAATTGAGAATTTTGAACTTAACTTTTAAAACCTCGTCTAAAAGCCTACTCCACTTACAAAGAAAAACTCTTAAATCTTACTTGAAATTTTGCTTAACTCTTTGAAGAGCCAAACACAGATACACACCCTGTCAGCTCTGAACACAGTGTTGAACCTCGCATAGTCTGTGAACCTTGAACGCAAACCGTGAATCTGTATGCAAGCCTGCAGCGTTGCATTATGGAATGACCCTACGAGCAACCACTGAACCTTAAAGGCAAACTTCACGCTCAAAACAGCACCTTAAATACACACTTAACCCGTCAGCGTTGTCATATACACAAACACAGATCACCCTACAAACACCTGAGTTCGAACAAATTACTAACATTGAAACACACAAATATTGAATTTTGGCCACGATGATGAATTCCCAAAGGATATCTAAACATTTTAAACCAAAGTAAACACAATCCACACACGTACTGACGAGTGTATAGAGGCGGACACACACACACACACACACACACACACACACACACACACACACACACACACACACACACACACACACACACTCATTAATCCCAGCAGTGTCCAATAACTCAAAGGTCCTAGTTATCACTGTCGCTCGGAGGTGGGTAGGTGACTGGACGGGCGGTGATAGGTGAGTTGGATAGGTGGGCGGAGGTGGGTGTGTGGATGGTCAGCCGTAGGTGGGTGTGGGGATGGGCGGCCGGAGGTGGGTGTGTGGATGGGCGGCCGGAGGTGGATGTGGGGATGGGCGGCCGCCAAGTTCTAATAAGCAGAAACTCCTTGCCTTCGGTCACACACGAATATCAACTCGAATAGTCACGAAACCTTGGGCTATCCCTCTCCCTTCCTTTCCCCCAGCACCAGAGTATAAGAGGATAGAGGCACTGGACCCGGCTGGATAGACACACACGGATATATTAGGGTAAATATACAGGTAGCGAGGGAGCGCCGGCATCCCTTGGTCCTGCTGCTGGCTTCTTCCTTCAGGTGGCGTTGAAATCTCCTCGCTTTTTTCACAATATATTTCTCAATCGATCACAGAATTTGTCCATTTGACATGCTGTCTACAAGCATCTAGGACGCCATTTCTATTGTTTACCTCAGCTGTTACCTCTAAACGCAGTACTAGACTCGCAGCCCAGATGGACATAAACAATATGTTTACACGAATGAAAAAAAATATATCTATGTATATATCACACACATGAAACACCTACCTCTGGGCGAGCCGTGCTGCTGCGTATTTCCACACCTGCAAACTATCCCAAACACTGCACTAATCTAACACTAAAGTGGGCGGTGTATGTATCCACTTTATCCATGCATTATGTATATACGTGTAGGTGTAGAGAGAGCAGCGTGTACACCCTCCCTCACCAACCAGCGACACCTGACTGACTTGACTTTACCTGGACACCTAAGACATTCCTGGCCCGCCCCGGGAGTTGCCACCACCATCTCTTACAACCTTATTTTATCCTTCAGTTATAAAACAATTGAATGTCACCTTTACATAGAAAATAAACAAGCGCTATGAAATCTTTCAAGAGCTGCAAATTACAAAGTAGATATTCGTTTTGTTTGAAATAAAATTAAATATAGCGACGGCCAGCCAGCCTTCGCTATCAAGATAAGTTTGTCATTTAACTCAAGTTTAAACCCCGGACATGGCAGAAACATTTCTCATCCTGTCTGTGTTAACTAAGAGCTAAGGTCTCTTCCCATGTAATGCCACGTATATGATGGGCGTATGTCAAGGTATTTTCCACTGTTATCTCAAATATACTTACAAAAAACATAAACCAGCATCTTGGTCGCCGCTAAGTCGGGCGGACCAGCTGTCAGAAACCTTCGTGGGGTTTCTCACCACCATCAACATCTCAATACAAACCTTCTCGCTACCCCTCCAACATTATTTTACAAATACACCACATATTTACCACCTTCATTCAATCCATTAGAATCACATATATATCAACAGAACATGATTTAAGCGAGTTATCGATGTATTGTTTGATGCCGCGCTTAATAATAGCAATGATGATCGCTCGAGCTAGCCTCGCCGAGGGCTCTTGGAAATTCTTGGGTCACACACTTTGCCATCCGCCAAGGCGCGTCAAAAGAAAGTCTCGACTGGTTTTAGCATCTAATAACTTTTTTTTTCCCCCCGCTGAGGTAATAGCATGCTACAGTGAAATCTCGCATTACAAAATGAATGGAACTGTTTAGTAGTTCCGTTGGAAAGGCCCAAGGTCCGATGTGACCGGTCACATCGAGACCATTGTCATTTATCGAAACATTAATGAATTAATATTTCTATGCCACATATTTTTGTCTGCACAGAATAGTTTATTACAAATTCACGCTCAGCGAGGTTAGTGGCGAAATAAAAAAATAAAAATAGAACTGTAAACATAATAGTGTTTACAATTCTATATCCTACGTGTTTATGCCTTTTGTATATACACATTATTGGGCTAATATGCAAGGTCCGATGTGCCTATTAGGTAGAATATTTTTTTTAATTTTCAAACAGTTTCCAATTATTGTTTTTTTCTATTGATAATAATCTATTATATTAGGAACACGACCTGCTGACTTAGTTTGATATTAGCAAAAGCACGTATGTGTTTGTAACGTGTATATAACGTGTTAACAGAGGTGTAAACTTATGACAGACCGGTCTTAATTGGGCCAAAATGTTATAATGAAATGGTATAATATAATTACCAAATGAAGCATTTGAGATTATCATACAAGCCCTTAAAACTACTATAGATGGAATGGACAAAATATTGTTGAATCCAAAATAAGTCATGTTTTGTACTATAAATTTGATAAATCAATGGCAACAACCTTTTCTCAGGTCTTATATAATACATGAAACTAGGTCCAAGATGGCATGTTAGGTCTGGGATTGCTTATTTAGGCCTAGAACATGTTAATGATTATGCTATTTTCATTTTTGTAATGACTTTCAGACTTCAAATTGCACAAAACTTGGACTTTTGGGGGAATAACTAGACATTTTTACATTCCATCGGTAATAGCAATAGGCACTATAATTTTTGTAAGACGAGTTACATTACTGCATAACTGTATTGTATGTCAGACCCGTCTTCTTAAAATCTTATCTTAAAATCAGACCCGTCATTCAGTTTAACAAATATTTCTCTTAACACCTGCAGACACAAAGGTCATACTTGGGCTGGCAAAATTAGCAGTCTCATAAAAAAACAAATTTAGTTTGGATCCACTGTTTTGCTGTTTTTTTATTGACTAATTTTTCATAATTTGAATATGGATACGGCATAGGATAAATTCTATTATCACAACCTTCTTATTACTTGCAGATCGAGCCTTTCTAATATGTTTCATCTTTAGCGGCCATTTAAGTTCAAGCATTTATAAATTATAAGCTTACTACTTTCCCCTGAAAACAGGATTGCCATGATTTATTCTATTATTTTTTCTAAGCTACTTTCAATAATCTATGGAAACGATGCAAAATTATATAATGTAAATCTTGAAATCAATATGGGGGAGACCTTTGATAAGCTGCTGGCTTTGTCCCTGTCAAGGGCACTAGAGATGGTGGGCCTTGGGTAAATTCAGGTCAATTCAGATGGTTTATATTATTCCAACTTTAAAAGCCTGTTATAATTACAACTCTCAAGAGAACAGCATGCATATTTATCAAGGTATTCACTACGTACAACGACCTTGCTCATCCTTACTTAAAATTCTACTCTTTCATGTGTACATGATGCATTCAAATTCCACTTCGTTAAAAGCTAGTCTATGCTTAACACACTAAGTAATCCCATTACCTTAACCTATACTTCATTAAATGCTTTGCATTTGAATTCTGGACAAAACCTACAAAAATTTCATAATATTGTAGGCTACTTCTATTGCTAATTAACAAATCAAAATGCTCCACATGACCATCATCCTTGCCTGAATATGCAGCTCAGTGTCATATCAAATTTAACAACTAATCATTGCATTAAACCCAATAGCCTACCTACAAACTCTAAACTGACCTAGGATGATACCTAACATAAAATTTCGGTACAAGTACCAGTGTTACCTCAGACTGAGATATTGGAACAATTATCATCTTATTTGAAACACAAGATGAGATGTTGCTAGCCAATTTCCTACTCAGATTCTCAACTTTGCACAAAACTTATCCCGCATCCAGATGTTTAAATTGATTAACCACTCCCCCTATTCACATTTATTTCACAATTTCTTGCACCCACCCCTTCTCAAGTAACAATTTTACTTTAAATCCTCTCACAAATCAATACAAAATTTCCAGTAGTCTACATAAATTTACTTTATTCTCTGCTAAACTGAACATCTGAATAAATAAATTTTGACTAACACCAATTACTCATATTAGGCCTATATACTCTAAACATTCTTACCTTAACCTCCCTCAAGACCCCATCAATGTTCACTATATTGAGATATGATGAATCACAGAATCCTGGAATACATTTACATTAATATCAAACCAGTCAATCATTACATCACTAATTTCACGGTGTTACATAAGCCTCCCTGGATTGGTTCCTTCTCGGTTACAGCCCTGCTCTTGTGCCAGGTAAGTCCACTACAGGCTCACCATAGCCCGTGCTACTTGGAACTTTTTGTTCCTAGTAGCCGAATCTAAAACAACATGGTACCTTCTCTTAATAATTACTTATATTATTAATTCACATATGCACTACTTCCTACACAAACATTTCACAACAAAATTATAATGAAGATAACGCATGTTTACAAGTTTTATCAAGTTTTATCGGATACTTTGATGAATTGGTATAAGCATTTGTCAAGTGCTAGGCAAGTTCGACTATATAGTAGGTCTTAGTACTACAACAATGCCAACAGTATGGAAGAATTATGTGATGGAACACTACTCTTCCAACCTGTCCTTCTACAAAGAATGTCGCTTTTCGCTTGTATGCGTTATATAAGGCCAAAAATTGTTGTACTACAAAATAGTAGTGGCTCGCAAAAGTGATGTACTGTCCTGTTTTCTCTTTTAGGTTCTCTGTTTGGTTATGAGGACACTTTAAAGTGTCCGTTTTCTCGATGTTGGGAAACCTTAGGAGGAAAAATCGAGAAACTGAACACGCACTGTAAAGATATGATGATTCTTACCTTATATTATTGAGAATAACAATATTTCTCATTATGGAAAAAAAATTCACATTTTATAACTCATCTATAACAGAAAAATGAGGTACTGTAGATGCATCATGATGAAAGTCATTGCGATGATACCATGTTGCCTACACTGTGAGGGGTGCCATAGCAGTCATCTTTCACTGCACATAAATGCTTTGGATGCAAGTTATGATGGTCTTATTTAACAGCAAACACAGAAATCCAAGTTCTTGCATTTCATCTGCCATGAAACTCTATCTACAACTTTGTGTAAAAGAAGGAACTTCGAAATTACGTACTATATATTCAGTAATTAGAATTTCTAAAAAGGCTACTCAGTATTTTCCATGTTTTTTCCCCTGGTCAACATGAACATCACTGGTTGTTTTATACGATGTGATGCAATCTCTGCAACTAGGATAAAAAATATAAAGAATGAAACTTGCCATAATAACCATGTTCCACAATTGTTGGCTTTGAAGGCACTTGGCAGAAATAAAAAGGAACAGTTGTGCAGGAAAAGAAAGTTAGTCAAGAGTCACACCAAAACTCAAATTTACAACTTTTATCAGACTTGTATTTTAAACTACAGCAATTAAGCCTTGCGATATATATACAATCTATGTAACCTGACAATATAATTAAAACAAAATTGTAAACCCAAATATATACATATACTGTATAAAGTATTTTATTTATTTAAATAGTCAAGAGTTCCAACACTCTTGTAAAGCCGCTAGCACGCATGGCGTTTAGGGCAGGTCCTTAATCCTAATTTTCCTCGGAATACGGCCCGGCAAATCGTTTACCCAGGTACCCATTCACTGCTGGGTGAACAGAGGCTACAGTCAAGGATTGGCGCCCAGACAATCTTCCCTGGCCAGGATACGAACCCAGGCCAAAGGGCTCACAAAGTGCCGAGCGAGTGCTTTACCACTGCGCCATGGGACCTGCCAATTTAATAAATTAGTAATAAATTATGTACTAATTTGGCATTGCAATAACAAACATCAAACCGGAATCACTAAAAGAAGCTGCAGAATATATGTAGCCACAAACAAAATTTCCTTTGAAATCCTTAATGATATTGCCTTAAAAGATGAGCATGGCTAACTGATCTAACACCTTGTATTTAACTATGAAAATCAAAATGTGCAGAATAATTGGGTGTATAAACACATACTGTATTTACAACAATAAAATATACAGTGTATTATATGACAAATAACATTAATTTATATGTACAATACATACACGGAAATCTGTACCAGTTGATTAAGGCAGTGTCTGGGATGCTCCCGGACGCAGGTTCGAATCCTCATCACGGCCCTTATGGATTTGTTCATCTGTACCAGGTTATTGAAACAAGCTAGGAAAAATCATGTTTAACATAGTATGAGAGTTCAGTTCGGTACTACCTGAGCCTTGGCGAAGTAGTAAATAGAAGAGTATCAATGGAAGTAGCCAAAATGAAATGATTTTAATAATGTACTCAATAGAACTATGCAATTGAGCAGTTCCATGAGACTATAACCCTTATCACCATCATCATTACTTCACTTTCCACTCTCAAAAATGAAGCTCAACCACTTGGGATGGGTGATAAGAGCAACGGTTTCGCTTCATGCAGGTCGGCGTTCAATCCCCGACCATCCAAGTGGCTTGGCACCATTCCTTCCATCATAATTCAAATACTGTACAGTATTATTTTAAAAATCACGTTAATAAATATTTATTGAAGTGTCGTATAACTCATTATCAAGGCAACTCCTATAAACAAACTACCAAACCATGAAACAACAGAAGGTTAAATCCAACACTATTAAATATGATCATCATTGCATGTATGCCAATCAACTTTGTATGACAAAATACCATCACAGTATTGTACCTTTTAATATACTGTACATGGGAGTACCATAAATTTATCACCATATACATAAACTACAGAAAAAGAAATACATAGACCCTGTATTAAATTTTATCTTTCAAAAGTCCTAAACTATATTTTCTAACATATTCTAAACTTTGCAGCACTGGTACTAAGTTTTGGGACAATTCTACTTGTTTATCATTCCAGTATATGTGAGTTGGAGGTTGGTGTTCACCGTTTCTAAAGACAAAGTGTGCTGAGAGCTGGATGGCTAACTGAGACCTGACGAGTCCCACACCTCCAACACGTTCAGGAGCTGGGTGGTATACTCGCCCTGTCTCAACTTGCATGCATAATTCAGATGGTTGGAATGGAAAGGTCATTAAGTCACCTGCATTACCATAAGCAATGTGCTCTTCTGGACCTAATGGTGCATCTTTCCTTACCTGGAAAGAACAAAAAATTGCAAATCATATTAATTTTTTGAGAGGGAAGGAAACTAAAATTACGACAACTGATCATAGCTAGAAATGGATACTCAGATTAAATACCTAATATCAACAAAAAGAGGAATTTGCTGAAATGAGGTTGAGTGTAGGGTAATACTAGCATGGAATGAACATGAAACATGAAGTTAAAGTAGCAGAAATGGACACTATGAGCAGCATAGTATATATTATATGGTGTCAGGAAATTAATTCCTGTTGTTGGGAACAGGTAGCCTGTATCTAGGCTTACTAAGGATCCCCCTAGGCTAATTGCTGACCTTTCCCAAGATGCAATCCATAACAGTTGCTTAACTCCTGGGTGTCTATTTTACTGTTAAGTGAACAGAAACATTAGGCGAAAGAAAAGTGCCCAGCCATCTCAGTCCTACTCGAGAGATCGAACCCTGGTCTCTTGGTTGTGAGCCAAGAACCTGAAGTGTAAAATTCATTAATTCTAAAGATTAGAGAGAGTGAACATAGATGATTTTATCATATTAAATGAATGGATGACTGTATTCAAGTGAATTTTGAATAATAGTTTTTGCCAGTTCCTAGACCTAGGTTGCATGGTCCCTCCGGGTAATCTCCTGGGACCTTTAGTGGAGTTTGCCTTCAACCTCTCCTCTTGTTTCATAAACTTGGGTCAGAAGTCTATCCTGCAGCTCTGGTTTGACTATGGGGTGGCTATTGGGTGGCCAAGTTAACCACTCTTTAGTGATTATATTAATTGTTCTCAATCCTTAAGAGGATTAAGAGGATTTTCTAATGTCTTGGGTTGATATCAAGTCCAAGGGTTTTTGGAGGTCTGACAGGGTCATGGCAGTTCGATAACTGGCTAGTATCCCTAGTCTCTGTGGTGCTTGTGTTGCCCTGGGTAGGGTATTCCATCCTGCCCTCTCACCTTTGGGGGTTTGATCCTTGTTCTCATTCTTCCCTGATGAGTCCTTTTTTTCATTTTCTATCTGGTTAGTCACCTACAGGTAGTCGCGGTTTGGCCCCTCCAGAAAACAAGCGTTCATATTTTCCTTTGCGTTTGTTTTGTTTTCCTCTTCTTAATTGCTGGCATGGTCTTTTCATTAGGGGTTATCTGGAATCCCCTGCTACTTGCACCTCTCCAAGGAGACCAAGTTTGGTTTCTGGTCCTCTGTACGCTTGTTATGACTCACAAGGGCTTGGCGAGACATGACGTGTGTGGAGCTGTCCATGTGGTTAGCATTGGGGAGTTATTGAAGAAGCCCTCCCATGACAAATTATTAACTAAATAAATTTATGAGCAATATCTTCCTAAATAAAGTGAAATATGAGATAAATAGATAGCTTATTACATCAAATCATAAATAATGTGTAAATACGTATGCATTGGATAGTTTCTCGACCAACTACCACAGTGAAGATTTATGGAAGGCAGCATTTTGTTACCAGGAGGCAGTTGGTAATTATGCCACCTGCCTCACTCACCTTCTCTCCCCTTGTTATTTACACATAAAACACATAATAATTGTTATTAATACATAATACATGAAATATGGGAGAAGCAGAAAATTTATTAGTGCAAGAATCAACATTTGCTAGTCTGCGAGTCAAGGAATGTCAAAATTCCTTACCTCCAGCCTTATCTAGCATCTTCAATTAATGTTACAGTATTTCAGCTTGTTGATTACCTGGAGGATGGCTTACTGATCATTTTAGTAAACTGAAGTAACTTTGTAGGCATTTATCAAGTTTCAAATAGGGTGGTTACCCGGAAATAACACGCGTCACTCGAGGGTGAAATCTTCTAACATTTTGTTGCCGAGTCTGCTTTTGTGTAATTGTGTTAAGATTCTTGGATTTCACAGTTCATGATGACTAGGGAGTTCTCTCTTATCTGAGATGTACTCATTGGCATTTGGAAAGTAGTCTCATGTTCATGGGTATGATTTTGAAGGTTATATACAACTGGTCTGTTTTACTTCTACCTGCAAAGTGAAGGGTTCTATTTTGAACTTGTATTTTCTATATGATGGCATTAACACTTTTTTTTAAATTATACAAGCATTGTCAGTTGATATTGACCATCCCTAGCTTTAAATTTACATGATTTGCTGAGTTTAACAGTAAAGATATTTTATACAGTACTTTGTTGGTAGTCTTCATGACCATGGGCTTCCATCCGATTCTGCTGTCATTCTCTGTCATGTAAGGATATCATCTAATAGTCTGGCCTGAAAATTCTCTACTTTCTCTTTCCATCTGGCTGTTAGGACTAGATTTTCATTAGCTTTCCTAGTTACTGTGAAGTTTGTTGTTTGTGCCTTCATAGCTGGAAGTTACTGCTGAACATAAATGACATCAGCAGCATACTGGTTAATGATCGTAGTGGGAGGTCATTGATATTAAGGAGCACTGGATTTAGGCTTTTGCAGTTTTGCCACTGAAGAATGAAAAAGCTATTTATTTTCATGACGATTCTGATGAGTCTTCTAATTACCTGTTTTGGGCAGGAATGCAAGTTAGTTTATAAATAAGTACATTAATCTAGAGATTGTTGAAAGCTTTATTCAAATTTCTTGTAGCTATGAGCACAAATGGGTTCAATATGCAGATACAGTACTCTCCACTGCATCATAGATGATGCTAATAATATATTATGTATATACAACATGTGACTTTTGAACCCAAATTGTTTCTCAGTGCAAAGTTGCTGTTTTTAAAAGTTCTAGTACTATATATGCCTTGATGCCAATATTGCATTAACACTTTGGCGTACCCCGCGCGCCACCCCTCAACTGTGCGATATGGGACCCAGGGTGTCATGGGAGCGCGTGTAAATTCTGAAAAGTGTATACTCTCTTCAACTTTGTCACCTTAATTCTCGTCCTACGAGATTAAATTTTGTATCATTGTGTTCGCAATAGAATTCTCTACAGCACTAAATGCATATAAACTTCAAAAGCCCGGCTAATTACCCGCAGCAAACAGAGAAAGTGCGAACGAGTTACCCAGGAGCGCGCAAACACAATAAAATGCTTTCACTATTTTCACTCTGATCACCTCAATTTTCGTCCTAGGTCTTTCATTTTGGTCTCAATGGGTTTGCAATAAAATTCTCTAGAGGAACATTAGCATATAAAATAAAAAACCTGGTCACGCTCCAACCGCCGACGAGTTGAAGACGGGCCACGCGTTAGCCGCAAGTGAGCGCTCAGACGCCTTCCAGCCAATTCCCGCCCTTTTCAAGCCTTTCTTTCGCAATTTTCTTCCTGGAAGGGCCTTGTTCATGATCACTATCCATCGTGGAGTAAGCGTAGATAGCTTCTAAAGCTGCAGTAAGAAATATAGCCACGGAAAATAGCCGAAATGTTCACACGTTTGAGATGCAAGGGGAGGCGACATTGGTCACAACAGTGGAGCGAAAACAATGGGCCCACGGCGTGTGCCAAGCCGCCTGAGGGCCACGAGGCTCAACAAAGAAAATGGGAAGACATTGGCGCGCATTTTAAAACCAGTCCCCCAAAAATCTGATAAAAACCTGATTTTTGGCGATTATTTAAAGTGGTTGACGCAATGCTGCGTCATCCCCGGCATTACCGACAGTAAACGGATGACGCAATGCTGCGTCATGCCCAGGCGAAAGCAGCACAGCACATTTTAGGGGACAATTTTTTATTTGTTCTGTACTTCCCACAGAGACCATCCAACTTTCAATTTAAGAAATGCCCAAAGCAGAGAAATATGACTAAAAACATCCTAACAAAATCAAAGATAATGAGTTATATCTTACCAAATTTGTGAATACCAGTGGCAGATCATCACATCTTATGAAGTTCCTTTCACGACCACATGGAGAGAAAAACGGAAACTCTGGATATCTTGCTGTTTTATTGAAGCAAAGTCGGCTGAAGAAAAACTGAAGGAACTTCTTCTCTGCACAAAAAAAAAAAGCACTAATTAGAAAAAATCTATGCCCCAAAGAATACTTTTCTAGCTGGCTCTCTGTAGCTTCCCAGCATACTGACTCTGGCACTGCAGAAACAGCCACAAAACTACCAATCCTCAGGACTCACACAGTCCTGAGTCCAACAAAGCACCAGAACCAGAATCTGGTATGCTCATAGCCGAGGAGAGCATAAGAATCAATTTCTTAACCAAGTAAAACTGCCCACAAAGTACAGCCAAAGTCAAACAAAATACATATCTTGATGAAAAGCAGAAAAGATGTAAATGGGGCAAGTAAAAGTGTGTCTAATGTCAATAAACCATGTGTAGTATCAAATAGTACCACCAGATGGCAGATCAGGACGTCCAAAGGTTCCACCTGCCTGCCCATCACCTCACTTGTGTGTTTGGGACCAGTCAACTAATTCTTTTGAGGACTGATACTGTTTTTGAGATAAATGGGGTTAACTTTCCTTAGGATTTTAATATCCCATAGAGGGCCATGCATTGTATTTTTTTATCGCATTATGCTTCACGATTGTATTTATGCTCTTCATCCTGAGTGACTTCAGCCAACAGTTTGCCCCCGACATTATTTCATGGTTATCTCCTTAATAAGGGAAAAAGCACTAAGCCATTACAACTATATAGCACTTGGAAGGAATCTGGATAAGGATTTGGGATGAGATGGGGAAGGTGGGTAAGAAATGTTGGCCAATCACTTGGACAGTTTGGGAGTGAATGCTGATCAGCACGAAGCGAGAATGTTGCTCTACCATACAGCCCAAGTGGTTAGGCACCATTCCTTCTCCCTGTCTCATCACAAATTCTTATCCTGGCTCTGTGGTCTAGTGGTGAACGACTGATTCACATCTGTAGGTTCATGGTTCCAATCCTGTCTGGAAGAGAAACAAATTGGCAGTTAGCCGTTGTGGGCTACTTCCTGGTAAAGATCACTAACTGGCTTAGTAGTTATCTCCTCAGGATTCATCTTGCTCTTATTTTCTCACCAGAATTATCTACTTTGAAGGGCTTGAGTGTTGTCCTTCCTGTCGTTTGTTGTTGTTTAAGATTCAGCTACTCAGAACAAAGAGTTCCAAGCAACATGGGCTATGGTGCGCCCGTCATACTTACATGGCACAGAAGATAGGCCCATTCTTTTTGGAGTTTCTCCTAATGAGATGCTCCAGTGTTTGGGTAGTGCTTGGGACTTCTTAATGGGAGTTGATTAAGTTCACTGTGTACTTATAAAAAAATAAAAAAGGAGGTTATTTATACTTGGTTATGCCTTGTCTGTAGATGTGCCCTGTATGTTTATACATGACACCAGCCAAAGAAAATCCTTGGGTGGTGAACAAGGAATCTTTAGATTTAATTCCTTAGTGCTGCGCACTTTTTGCCACACCAAAACCTTTTGGGCATTGCAAGAGTAGCCAGGCCAAAACCATCTGGTACTTCTATACGTTTATTAATAGACCAGACGGTCAGTTCCTCTTGGGTTCTAGTGGCACGTTTGTCATGTATTTTTCGACATCAAGATTATATATAAAGTATATATAATCCATATATACTACCACAAAATAGGTGGCACAAACTTGAGTGGTTATTCTCCAGATTGGTATGCTGTATTACACGTCACCGTGGTTTCAGCTGGATGCTGTCTCCATTTTCCCTAAGGTACATTTCCAGGTTGTAGTTTTGGGATCTGTGAAGTAGAACTGGTCTAGCTTTAAAAAAAAGTGTGACTGTATAGTACCCTTATATAAAAATAGAGTATGATTATTGTGACCATAATAACTATAGGTCTATTAGTTATACACTGTAGTAGGCCGAGTACATGACAAAATAGTTATTGGAATACTGTAGTTACATTTAAAACATTCAAGGAGAAATGGCTTCAAGCTCAACAAGGCACAACGTAGGTCAGAATATAGGAGACGGTTTTAAGCTCATAGGGTACTAAACCCATGTAACCATATACCTGCAACAGCCATGTCAAAACATAGCTCTTCAAAATCCAGCTGGAAAAAATCATCAGGAAAATGGGGGACCTTTATCAAGCTGCCAGTTTCTTATCATCGTGGCCACTGGTGGTGACCTCAAGTAAACACGGGTAAACCGAATAATTGGTCAATGATGAAAAAGGTTGGTTTTCTTAGCGAAAGAGGTTATGTTAATCAAATATTTGTATTAAGATAGATAGTGAAGGAGGCATGTGAAAATGTGTCTCGTACATATGGTACTAATGTGTTATGGTTTTTCCAATTGAACAGTGGATCTCTTGAATCCTTAAAGAGTATATTTTATATAAATAAAATATATAACCATAAATAGCTGCTCACATGATGGGCAGGAACCTTGAACCCTCTGTATTACCATGCTGAGGGGCTGAAAAAAAGAAGCTGGTAGTTCTAGGGGTCTCTCGTTTTTTCCAATTAACATAGAACCTAGAGTCTTAAACAAAAGCAAATAGTGGCACTCTTACCCTAGACACCAGGTGTCTTGGAAGCAATGGGGACAAAATTGTAGTGGTGATCCAGTTCTCTGTGCTTCTGAGACCGCCGATTCCCTGTGGGTGGCAGCACCACCAGAATGTGCAACACTAAAGTCAATGTAGGTGTTAGCCAAGACTGATATGTACAAACAGTCCCATTCCAACTGCTTGCTGTTCTTTCAGGGGATCACTATAATCCCCTCTGGATGACCAACATTAACACCCGAGTTACTAGGCATTAGGTAACGGGGACTCTCAGTTGGACATCCAGATGTGGTAAGGCTCCTCTTTATGTCATTGGTATTCAACTGGCCTTAAGTTCCAGTTGAATACCAGTTTGGTGTCGCTGAGAGCCTTCCTTATTGTGGGCACTCATGGCTGAGTTGGTAGGACTGTGGACTGTTGCATTTGTTGTCTGCAGTTTGAGGCTCTGATGGTCCAAGTGAATGGATCATCATTATAATATAATATAATATAATATAATATAATATAATATAATATAATGTAGTGTAATATAATATACACAGAAATAACATTATCGTGATATATCAATGGGAAAATCCACATGAGCCATAATAAGGGTTCGAACCTATGCGCTACCGCAGGTTGTACACCAGGTTGTGCCCCAGGTTGCACTTCTTTTGACTACGTCATGGTGTAGTTGATTAGAGCGTTCATTTGGGAACACCCAGATCATAGGTTCGAACCCTCATCATGGCTCCTGTAGATTCTCATATATTATATTATATACAAATTCACCTGCCTTTAAAGCAAGATGTAAAGTTCTTGATTCTTGCATCATCCAAAAAGAGCTGAAAAAAAAAGAAATTAGAATTAATTACAGCTAAAACAAGACATTAGTGATAAATAGTATATAAACTCCAATATGCTTGGCCCAGGAATGAAGCATTCCAATTGAGTATACTTACCTGTACCGACCATTACGTTTGTCTTACATAACTAAGCCAATTACACTGTAAACATTTATCAACTATTTTCAGAAAGCTATTATGAAGAGGAAAACAAATGAACCTGAACTCTAATGAAGTGCATATCTGATCTGAAATTATGGATAGCAAGTTGCATAAGGAGAAAATCTGTAGGAGCCGTAATTTCTGATTGACACATCACGTTAGAGTGATTACTCTCTGTGAATTTGTATAATCTTAAATGTGACCAATCTCCATAGCCTTATTTCTACCACTGTAATAGGTGGTGGGAAACATTCAGGATTGAAATAAACAAGCTAAAATAAGAACTGTAAGGTACAGAAAATGGCAAATGAGGCACTTTTTTTTATATACTGTAGGAAAGGTGTCTGTATTACTGTTGTGGGAATGAATATTAAAACTTAGAAAACATGTACAGTATACAGTGTTATGTTGGATAAAAAAAAAATATTTAAATCTTATATCTAAAGCCTAACAAATTTTATTGAATAAAATATTCAGTTCAGACCTAGTCTAGGTGTTATCTTGTTTTAATTGCTTGTACAGTACTTACCTAAATTCACAGCAAGTAACAACATCTAATTTAATATCAAGCAACAACACAGATAGCCTGTATTACAAGTACTGCTACTACAGTGACATGGAAATACTTTTACAGATTGGTAGGCATATAATAAACTTTTATTGTCTACTAATATTAGAGCTACAAAATTTGGCTAAAATTCTAATTCCATGCCACATAATATATACAGTATCCCAGAGGATTTTGACAACATAGAATTTAAGTATATTCTGTAATAGGTAAAATTCATTGCATAGAATATTCATCAAAATATTAAAAGACATATGGTACTTTAAGAAAAATATGATCCGTTTAATTTGTCACATTCCACACCAACATTATTTCATGACCCTGATGACAATGTTTACATTATAGATACATACATATTTACATTTTTTTATAACCACAAAGTAAATAATATTAATAAAAAGAAATAAAAATATCACAAAGGCCCCTGTGATATCAGTGATGTTATTAATGGGTTGGGGCAGCTACAGCACCGGGCTGTATGTATCCAGTCGTTCCAGAGTCTGGGAAAAACTCCAAGTCTGGAGGTAAGACATTACCTGTTGGCAGAAAAATCATTGCTCCTTATGGCAAATAAACACACTGTAAGACAGATACTTGGCGACATCCTGGCGTCTCTCGCAGAGTCGAGCCCCAGTCCCACATAAAGAACTGGAAGATTATCTATCGATACCCTGGGACTCTTAGACGATAGAGGCGCCAGGCAGCCTGTCACCTCTGAGCAAGCGAACCAAATCGAAGCCAAATGACAAAATCGCAAAGGCCCCTATGAAACTTACAAATAAAAACTCAACTAATTCTAAAAAATTGACAAAAAAAGATCTCATTCCCATCTACCATTCCTTGGTGGTCGACATAGTAGAAGTATTCCCTGACTCTGGGCTCTGGTGACTGCCCCTGCACGTACTCCGTCAGCTGTAGACTCGTGCACCATCTCCGGGAAGCATGCAACCTTCTGCAGGCTGAAACAATCAGAGACGGACTTATACTGCTACCAAGTGTTGTGGTCAACATATTTACATTACGCTATAGGGCATTATGGGTTAGATAAGAGCATAAATTAGTTGGAATTTTACAATTTAATTTATTTACTCAATATAAATCTTATTTTACAATACTTATACATTTATTAAATACAAATATAGGTCCAATAGTATGAAAATCTTTTTTAATAATAAGCATTGTGTAGTAAACATTTATAGTTTCTGTTGTGACTGTGTTTCATGAAAGCCATAATAAACACAGAAACTATGACATGATTGGTTGAATGCAATCTTGCCTCCCGCTGACTAACCAATGAGAATGGCTGCCTTTCCAAGACCAACCAATCACACCAACTCTACAGTCTGGTATCGGCTGTTGTGTCGGAAAACCTGAAATGGTGTTGTGGCTGTAGGGTCGTGTTGACGGGTATTGTTGCTGCCGGGGGACCTTTTGTTGACGCCACAGTGAGCCAGTGCTGACGTTTATGTGGTGCGGGAGAGTGAAGTGAAGTAATGGCGCCGCTGACCTGAGTGAAGCGCCCACTGGGGGAGTGGGAGAAGTGTATATACTAGGAAGAAGCTCATTTACCAGGTGGTTGTTTACACTAGGTTCAAGGACCAGCTGATTCGGTGTCATCGTTGTCAGGCCCTCCCACGGCTCAGGTTTTCTTGGATGGAGGATTATTTTATCTGGCCAACATGAACCCTAATCGGTCTCCCAATCTGTCAAAGAGAACATGGAAATTACGTGAGTATTATGGTAGAGCTATCCTGTGTAGCTCTGGGGGCGGTTTCCCAGGCAATAACTCTTCCCCCAAAACGTTATTTTTATTTGTGTTTCGCTTCTGTTTGTGTTCACGTGGTTAATGTGGTGCCTTGATATGTTTTTTTTATTATGTATGAATTATGGTTTGGTTTATGATAAAAACAAAAATAGTGCAGTGTCCTACTTCACCCTATTGATCTAGTGCCAGTCTTATAATTTGTTAGTTTCCACTAGTTACCTCAAATAACTACAATAATTTTATTACAAAGTTTATTGAATTATTCAGAAGAGGAGACATTGTATAAAATGACACCGGATATTAGTAGGCCTACCCACAAATATTGATAAAGTACGGTAGTCTCATTTGACATCCAAGTGTCTGGAATCCCTAGTGTGGATCTCCTGACAGCAAGACTTATTACTCTTATTACTCTAGACAACAAGACTTGTTATTGTAAGGGAGTTTCTCTTTAACTCTGTATATTATGGTCTATTATATGCAGGAAATAAGCCATAATGTGGCTGAAAACAAATAACTTGACCCAGGCATGAAATGAAGCGACAACATTTTGGGTATGTCTTTGACCCTTATCAAGTTGTGACGACTGTCTATTACCTTCCTTCATTCCTATAAACTATTTGGCCTGCTTCAGTTTTTCCTTGTCTCTTATGATTCCTGGATGTTTGGATCTGGGTGTCTGGAGATGGGTGCCAAGTATCCAAGGTTTGGAGGTGCATTTCTCTGGTATTGCTGAGCATTAAGGTCTGATATTGAAAATGGAAGCAGGCCATAACGATACTCTTTACTATTGTTTTCATTATTGCTTGGGGATTTTTTTGCTTCTCCCTATGCACCTGAAAACTAGAAACTGTACATCCATGTTCAGTGATACATTCCTTGGGAACCATTGATCTTTAAGATCTGATATAAATATGCACAGTAGCATGGTATGTTTGGCATGCATCAGTGATATTTTCAAATGATTTAAAGATAATTTTGTACATAGTTTTGGCATCTGAAGACTAGAAAATATGCTCATTTCTGTAACAGTCTCCAAACACTTTTTATAATGCAGTCATCTACCCATGTAATCTTATACTTTAAGGAACACACATCCACCTGAAAGTAAAAGATTTATTAAATAACTGTAATTTTCATAAAAACCATACACTGAATCGTGGGAAAAAATTATATTCTAATAAGTTTTTATTGGGCACCTTTCATGGTTTATTACGTTTTTACAGTATATTTAAGATATCCCAGGTACAGTATTTTTAGGGTCTCTTTAAACTTAGTTGTGCAGGCACTATAAATTTTTTCAGTGTTGTGTCGAATGACTGCAATGGCACAAAAATTGGGTGTGTCTACCCTTTTGAAACAATACAGTATTGCATAATAGTGTTCTCAGAATGTCAACTGCTTGGATTATGTTTAATCCAAACAGCCATGGAGCTGGGCAGTTACCATTCAAAATTCACTTCTAAACAAGGACAAGTGAGGCAGTGTCCATGTAGTCACAAGTCACTCAATGGTGCTTAATCTGACTGACCAAGCAATATGCATATTATCAACCATACTGTACTTTAATAATAATATATCGCATACAGAGGTGTATTTGAGCAATAACTTTGTACTTCAAATTGCTTGAATTCCCATGTTATCAGGGCACAAACTTAGATGGGAAACTGCATTGTAAAGCAAATTAGTTATTTATCTTCATGTACAAAATTTTAACCTAAAGTTGATTTGTAGGTGTTAATAATTTATTTTTATATCTGAAGTTTCTCTAAATTATGGAAAGACTATACGTATAGTATATTTTGCTTTTATTTTACATTTTCATAGTTTACAAAAAGGATTGCTTTGGTGTATGGAACTATATAAATGGCTATCAATGTGAAATAATATTAATGTAGGCAAATTTGTAATAATAGCCTTATCAGTAAATTTATAATTCAGGGATTTAGAAAATTGTTAATTCTGTTACCTGTATATAAACTGCTTTTCATCTTAGGTTCTTTGCATCATATGATCTTTTGGCCAAAGGCTATGTTGCTTCAATATAAATATGGCTAGACTGTCAATAATGGAAGGCCTTATTAATGTCACACACTTCACTACATATACATAGGCGATTGGGGCTCAGGTGTTTGTTTAGTCAGAGCCCATGGAAACCAGCAGACTGTAAAGGTATTGAATGAATATGATTTTCCTCTCATTGCTTTTTGTGTTTCCTTTGCATCCCTTGGGCATGATTGCTGGTTTATTTATTTATTGTTGGTATGTTATCCTTTCCTTTGTGGGTTATAGGATGAATAACTTTTAATCAAGCGTCCTACTTCTCTTTGCTCACTCCTCTTCCAAACTCAATATAGCTACATCATGAGCAGACTCAAAAGCAGTAAATTGTATAGTGCTTTAAAAAATGTAATGTTCAGGTACTATATTTGTTTTATAATGTTTATAGTATATGCTCTATGAACTTGTGCATACAGTATAAGATTCTTTGTTTGGCAGAAGTAGCAATGAAAATAGTTTGAAAAGTGTTGCATCATTTATTTAAATGAAGCCAATGAAGTCTTTATGAAATAAATACTTTATAAAACAAGATATAAAGTTTATATAGGGAATTAAAACAATTTATTACACTAAATCACCCCTTTCTCTCCTTCTCTTTCCTTAAAAAGCCTTTTATACAGTCCAGTACCTGTACTATATTTAATATTTGCGTATATATTTGGACTTGCAAACTCGTCTGCTGTTCAGCTGCTTCTCTGTTGTAATAATGTACCGATTGTGTAGTTTTTTTGTTCTCGAGTAACATTGTTTCCCACATGCCTTGTACTGTATATGTATTGTCACTTTCATTGCTGGTTACAGCGCACTCTGTGCCTAATCAGTGTACAAGTTGAACAACCATGATATCTTTATGGAGTCTTATCATCACCTTTTAATTAACATGGAGCCATTCACTCGGTTCACTTTCACTGCAAGTACTTTCCTTTCTCTCACTGCAGAAGCTCTGTAGTATTTCTAAACCTCTCACAACTTATTTCTCAATTGCAGTGCTTAATAATCTTGAAATATTTACCTAGCACAAATTATGAGTTATAGATTCTTGGTCAAGGTTTTCAAGGTGAAGATCCAGTTTATACACCCACAGCATCATAAAATTCTTCCAGTATGTGTGCCACTGTAACATGGAATCCTGTACCTGTATTCCTTAATATGGACTGTACAAGATATCCTGGAATCCAATTTAACTAGTGCCTTTCCAGAATGCCTTAGAAAGTGGCATTGGTGTATGGCACTTTTGCATAAACCAATTTTGGAGCATAGTATTCATTATGCATTGACAGTGTTGTACTTGTATAATTAAACAATCATCCTTCGAATATTTGAGCCTTTAAGTAGGCACGTTTTCTTATCAACTGATGAATACATTTCAAATACATTCAAATACATGGCTAAGCATTCTTATGATGCATACATTGCCTGTAACCTTGAGACACAATTTTTACGAGGGCTTAGCTCAGGACCATAGCCTTGGACTCTGTAAAACATATTGCCAAAATATGATTTTCATCAAGATGCTATATCATTAAAATCTCATTTAAATATGATGTAATGGGTAGTCAAAACAATTAAAACTTACATGAGACCAGGAACTAGTGTTCACTGTAATGTAAAAAAAAAAAAAGATAAATATGAAATTGCCGTGTGCTTGTAGTGTGGCCATTGTGCTCTTACTTGTTTAAAGCAAAATCCTTTTGCAAGCAAATGATCTTAGTGTATATGAATGTTAATAAGGAGAGTGTAGCCTAGTATTAAAGAAGTCAGTAATAGACCAAGGTTGTTCCACTCCGCCACTTCGGAATTGCTGGTAAACACACCTCTGGGAGTTATATTGGCGTATACTTAACCGAGTTTTTGCCTTACTCTCACTCAGAGATGTTCAGGGACGGTGGTTTTAAAGGGGAAACTAATTTTCAGCCTTGATGGGTCGAAGTGTGTCAGTTAAGAATGGTTAACTCATTATAGACAAATTGCCACATTGCTCATTATAGTTAACGACTCACTCGAGACCTGAGAAGAAAATGTTCGTAGTTTGAGGTGCTGCTGTCAGGCTGACTTGAGAAGGTTCTTGTATGATGTCCTTGTTTGGGGTGGGGGAGAGAGGGGGGTGGGGGTTATCTTGAGATTATCTTGAGATGATTTCGGGGCTTTTCAGTGTCCCCGCGGCCCGGTCCTCGACCAGGCCTCAGGGACGGGAATCAGGGAA